CTCTGTAAAAATCAAACTGGACACCGTAGACCCTCTGTATCCATTTCATCCCTCTAGCTTTGTTGATATAAAAAACGACACAAGACTGAAACTTACCTCGCAGGAAGTCGCGGAATGGCAAAAGCATCTGGAGAAGACGCATAAGTGGACGGAATCGAAATTTCCGACTCAGTGCTGGTTCTTGACGTTGCATTGCCATCACATCGCGTTACTACCGACATTGCAAAAGTATCAAAGAAAATTGCGAGCGTTACGCGACTTAAAAAATATGCTCAACGAATTGCAAGCCACGGAACCCCAGTGGAAGGATAGCCCCTTCGCTGAACATAATAGAGATTTAATTAAACAATGGAAGCAGCAATCGGAGCAATTAAGTAAATTTAAATCGTGCGCGGACGCAGGTCTGATAGATCCTGTCTTTTTAAGAAGATGCTTACACTTTTATATATCCGTGGCTGAGGTTTTGTTGAGTCTTCTGACACAGACTGCCCCAGGTAATCCTCTTCCCAAACTTCCACTTCCTCAGGAAGTCACATGCAAGTTTACCGCATTACCGGAATGGTACGTAGAGGATATAGCGGAATTCTTGGTATTTACGCTCCAGTAAGTTCTCGTTATATATATTATCAAACATTGTAATTATACAATATGATACGCTTATTAATAATTATAATTCCACGTGTAGATTCTGTCCTGGAGTAGTGATAAGTGGTAATATGGATAACCCGCTTATCACTTGGCTACTGGTCGTCGTGTGCACACCGCATTGTATACGAAATCCGTATCTAATCGCAAAAATCATCGAGGTCCTCTTTGTGATAAATCCTAGCCCTCAGGTAAATTTATTAGGAAAATACTTATTGTTAAATTATATTACTACATTACTGTGTGTGTGCGTGTGTATGTGTGGGCGCGTTAACAACTGTAATCTTCTGCAGGGAAGAACGGAGATTCTCCACGAGAAAGTCATGGCGCATCCTATATCCAAGACACTTTTGGCGTCATATCTCATGAAGTTTTACACCGACGTTGAAACCACTGGCTCTAGTTCCGAGTTTTACGACAAGTTCTCAATACGTTATCACATAAGTTTAATCTTGAAATCAATGTGGGATAGTCCGGTACATCGAGCGTCTATCGTCAATGAAAGCAATAATGGCAAGCAATTTGTCAAGTTTATCAACATGTTGATGAATGACACTACCTTTCTACTTGACGAGAGTTTGGAATCTCTGAAGCGTATACACGAGGTGCAGGAACTCATGTCGGACACTACCGCGTGGAGTGCACTTTCCCAAGAGCAACAGCAATCGAGGACGAGGCAGCTGGCAGCAGACGAGAGACAGGCCAAGTCTTATCTTACACTAGCCAAGGAAACAGTTGCCATGTTTCACTATTTGACGGTCGACATTAAGGAACCGTTCCTACGACCGGAATTAGTCGGGCGATTGTGTGCCATGCTAAATTTCAATTTGCAACAATTGTGTGGACCTAAGTGCAAAAATCTGAGAGTGAGAACACAGCAAAAATACGGGTGGCAACCAAGGACGTTACTTAGCCAATTGGTTGATATATATTTGCATCTTGACTGTGATAATTTTGCGGCTGCTTTAGCCAGTGACGAAGTTAGTGTCTTTCCATTCATCATTCATACATTTCATTAAATAGATTAATACAAAAAATTGTTTATTTTCTTTTCCAGCGTTCGTTCTGTAAGGAGTTATTCACGGACGCTGTAAGCAGGCTACACAAATATGCGATCAAAACTACCACAGAAATTGAGAGATTTATAGCGCTTGCGGAACGTGCGGCGATAATTGCGAGAGATAATCGCGCGCGTGATGCAGACTACGGCGACGCTCCTGAGGAATTTCGAGATCCATTGATGGATACTCTTATGGAGGATCCAGTCAGACTACCATCTGGTATTGTTATGGACAAGGCAGTTATCATTAGACATTTACTCAATAGTGCCACGGATCCTTTCAGTCGGCAGCCACTTAGCGAAGACATGCTCACACCAAGTAAGTGCACCGTTCACATTTTCTTTTATTAGTATTCGGTAAAATGAAATTTTTCTTGACTTAAATACGTCTAACAAATAATAACAGCGTTTCGTAGCAACATATTTTTATATAGAATACATTCTGTAAATGTGTGATGCATGTACAATCAATTATGCAGTTTTTTATTTAAAATATTTTTTATATTAGAATTAATATCTTTTTACATTTAACTTTAAAATATAAGAATTGCCGAAAGATGATATTATTCATATATCCACATATATAATTTTACATATATGTATAAAAATTATATAAAAATCCATTAAACTGATGATTATTATTGCAGTGCTCGACTTGAAAGAAAGGATATCTGTATGGAAACAACAAAAGAAAAGATCGACGAATATATAAATGGTGCTAATGTGATGAGAATTCTGCAAGTAAAAATATAGGAGTAAAAAAATTTAGCATTCAACATAGAGAAAGAAAGCGAGAGAGCGAGCGAGCGAGAGAGTGAATGAGAGAGAGAAAGAGAGGGGGAAGGGGGATAGAACGGAAAGGAGGGGGGAGAGAGATTAGCATACAATCTAACATAATTGTCAATATTGCACGATACATTCTATCAGGCAAATGCATCGATTCAGTGCAGTTGAAGAATATAGTGCAATGATCTCGCTATTGTGCAACAATTGCGCTCAATAAATTTACAGTTTTTATACAATAAAACATTAACTCAGACTGCAGCTAGCAAACTGCCAATATATTGCTCCAAACATACTTTAGAACGTTGTAAATAATTACTGGCTACATGTCAGTATTCAAAATCACATTATTCATAAATAAGCAACATTACTTTTTACGTCTTTCGATGTATGTGGCAGCGGGTAAGTTTGAAGCATATCCCGCAAAAATATAATGTTAAATAGTATAAAACTAGTAATATTAATGACTACTATATACTTCCACGAACTCGACATTTACAAATAAAATTATTATTGACAAGAAATCTACATGTGCATAAGATTTATAATTCAATGATTTCAGCAGTACTATTTAAAGGTGTTATATATAAAATTGTAATGTATAATTATTTGTCAATCCTCAGGACGATAGTTGAAAGTATGGAAATTGTTTATAATAGTCAAATTCGTGGATTACTTTGCATTCTTTTGCTAAAGATGCAAAAACACATCACGCTCTATATATATAATTCAGATGTTATTTTTTGGCTTTATTTTGTAAAGAAGATAAAATGTTTTTTTTTACAGATAAATGCTACATCATGTATGTGTACTAGTTTGCAATATTTTGAGTTACACACTTTGCTTTTAAATATGAATGTTATTTTACTTTGAATATAGAAAGATTCGAGCATTTTTATTTTTTATGTGACTTAACTGTCTTATCATAACTTTATTATATACATATATGCACAAAGGACATTTCCATTTATTAATTTTTATTAACAAAATAATGCATATATGTATATGTGTATGTGATTAAGTGTAAGTATATACATACATTTATCTTTTCTCTATCAAATTATTTCTTTATCATTCATTAATCATTATTTATTTGCTTATTTTGTGCAATAAATATATACATATATGTATGTAACATTCCAAAGAAATTACAATATTTGAAGAACGTAGCGTTTGAATTGTGCTGCATTAAATTCTAAGCTGTTTACTGATTGAAGATTTAATATGCATCTTGACTCATAATGGATTCATAATATTACTTTTCAAAAGTAATAATTGCATTTATCCAGTGTCACATTTATTTTGACGGTTATCATATTTTTACTTTAATAATTCCACACACTGATAACATTATGATAACATTAGAACACGTTCTGTCATAAATGTAAATATAAATTTATATACATCATAGTATTAACTAAATGGATCATGATTTGATGATTGAATATGCTGCACATACAAAAATTTGATATTACATGATCAGAGTATAAAAATCATTATTTGTCCTAAATTTCTAAAGAAGTATAAAAAAGGTGATTATTCAATGATAAAAGCTATATATCATTTGTCATACTTTTGTGCGACCTATGTAGGAAGATAAAAGATTTGACATAAAATTTAGAAACTTTGAGAATATTCATAACTAGGATTACCAGGATGAGGCGATGTCATCTTTTAAGTAATTTGCAAATTTTGCAGTAGGCTTGTCCGTTTTAATCGAACTTGTTTGCATGGTACATCATCCTTTCATTAAAGAAAAGAAAAGAAAAATTAAATTATGCAAGCAATAGATCTTTTCTTTTAGTTAAAAAGAAAAGACTTATTGCAAATCACTCAATGTCGCTTTATAGGCACACATGTCGCCTACATCTGATAATCCTGTTCAGCTACATTAGATAGCGATCTTTTTCGTACAATTATTTTGTGAAATAATTAAAGATGGATATATACACTTTGGAGACATACAATTGAAGTATTTAATAATATATTAAAATACCATACATGCTATTTGTATATATAGAATCAAAAATAATCTAATCATAAAGTTTGATATTGTTTTTTATATGTATATATTTGGGTATGTGTATGTATATACATTTGTGTATATGTGTATGTATATATATATATATGTATGTATACATATACATATGCACTAAGCAGTCTTTATTCATGGAAAATTTACTTCAAGTAATACCCCTGTAAATACTAGGATTGATGTAAAGTATAAAAATAAACAAAATTTATGTGAAATAAAAGCATTTGAATGATACATTAAAAAACTTATGATTTATTAATAAAAAAAATTATATTTCTATCATTTTCTTATCTTGAGAAATAAAAAAAAAGGTTATTAGGTTTTCTTTAATTTTTTCTTTGTCCTATTCACTCCATT